TGTAAAATGACTATTTTTGTTCTATTTAAGGCTATCTTGTTGTCCTGCCTTATCTCTTAGTAATATTGCATCTCCTTATTTTTTTGTTTGCATTTTAAAACTATAACCTTGTCTACTGTTTTACGATAAGATGACTTCAATATAATCTAAGGCTTTTGATAAAATTAAAAATCAAGCCAGGCGCAATGGCTCACGAATGTAATCCTAGCACTTTGGGAGGCCGAGGCAGGAGGATTGCTTGAGGCGAGGAGTTTGAGACCAGCCTGAGCAAGAGCGAGAGCCTGTCTTTTCAAATTAATAAAAAGGAATAGTAATTTTTAGATGAAGGGGAGCCGGTGATATGTAGTTGGTGACGTGACAGCAAAGCTAAGGAGAAAGGCCAAAGCTGAAGGTAAACTCAGGGAATAAGTTGCTGTGTTGGCAGCTGAAGCAATGAAAGTGAGTGGGCGGCATCTCTGTACGAGAATCAGCAGGGAAGAGAGAGCTGAGGGATGACCACTGAGCCATTGGCCTTCTCCATCTCCAGAGGACCAGAGGAAGAAGCCCAGCTGGAAAAAGGGATCAGAAAAGTAGCAGAACTCAAATAATCTCAAGCCACGGAGGCAAAAGAGAATAGCTCTTCAAGGAGATTGTCATAAAGGTGTTAAAAACTGAAAGGAAATGAGTGCTGTAAAAATACCGTAGAATCTGAGAATTAGCCAGCATTACAAGGAAACTCTTTCAGTAAAGATTTTAAGGCACAACTGCAATGATTTAAAGAATGAGAATGGTGTTTAAAAGTTGAGACAGGGTATAGTACATTTTTTTAAAAAGCAAAGGAGAAAGAGTAGAGAGTTAAGCAGTGGGGCTGCTTACATTTAGGATAAGGAAAAGGTTGATTATCAAAAGCTAATGATAACAATAACTAACATTTGTTATAGAACTATATAACACACAGTATCTTATTGATAAACCATTCTATAGATGAGCAAACTTGAGTCAGAGCATTGAAAGGACTTATCCAAGTTCACATAGCTCAAGAACCAGGAAACCAAACCCAGATCTTCAGGCTGCACATATACTTCCCGTTACACTATGTTCCCTCTAAAATGTAAAATATAGTTTAGAAGTGTGTAGCATTTTTCACTTCATAAAGCACTTTCTCATATATTAGTTTATTTTATTCTAACAACAAATTTGGAGACAAGTATTATCACGATGAAACAACAAATCTGGAGTCGGGTGTTGTTATCACCATGGCCATCACTGTTATTATTGAGAGTTCACCAGTGAAGAAATGGAGGCCAAGGGAAGTTAAGAGACTTGCCCAAGATCACATGGCAGAGAAGTATCAGAGCTAGGACTCAGCCCCAGTTCCTCTAGCACAACTGCCCACGCATGTTTTGAGGCTCTGGGAAGGAGTGCAAGACAGATTCTAGACTATGTTTATAGAATGTATTTCTCTGTCCCCTTACTCATTAGGTTTGTAACTTACTATGACACTTGACCTTTCTCTTATTGATATTTGACTTTTCCCTCCCATTTTTTAAAAATGGTATTGTGACTCGTGAAATCTCTTTGGGCTATCAATCTCTTCTATCTCTGTGAAGGGTGGACGTTTCTAATAGTATCGTTTTGTTTTTAATATAGCTAATGTAACTGAGGTGGTTTTTAATGGACATCTTTATGTACTGTCCTTGTGTTACTATACACTGATTCTAGCCATTTCCTAAAAAGCATATTTCAGGATGTAATTTTCTTTATTTTCATTTGGTTCTCCTGTCATTCACTTTTCCCAGAAAGGTTATGTCATTTTACCCTTATTGAGTCAAAGGAAGCTTCGCTCAGGATGAATTATTGTGCCGAAATGTTACGCTGCTGCTACCATCACACAGCTATTGGAAGACTGTGGGTGGCACAAAGAATGATGTTTGGTTTCCAGTGACTGAAGCAAACTTTGCGTTTCCCGGTGCTGGTAGCCTAGTTCCATTAGCTTAAGAGTCATTTTCAGGAGATAGGAGCAGTTACCACTTCTCTCCAACCTCAGGAATTAAGCAAAATTTTACAATGTGTAGCTGATGAATTGTTAACTGTCTCTAGCCGCCATGTTCCTGCTGTGTGCGGTGAAGGTCCCCGAGGCCGTTTCGGACATGCTTATGTCAGAGTTCCACCACCCAGAGACTGTGCAAAGGCTAAACGCCGTCCTCAAGTTCCACACGCTCTGGAGGTTCCGCTATCAGGTCTGGCCTCGGATGGAGGAGGGAGCACAGCAGATCTTTAAGGTGAGGGATATTTCTCACATGGGCGTTAGATTAGTAAACCCAATCCAAGTCATGTTTAAATCCTTGAACCTCAAAGTGACAATACATGGCCAAAGATATGCTTTTTTTCCTCTCTGATGATATAAGTAAACCTAACTCATACATAAGTGAATTCTTATTTTAAAAAATTGAAATATAAAATAATGTAGAGTAAGAACTCTCATCTCTATAAATCTTAAAATCTCACTGCCATCCCCAGAGGTAAGCATATAAAAGTTTGGGGTATTATCTCCCAGACAATTCTTCTGTATATTCACATACAAAAGTTTTTTGGAGGATGGGGTGATTAACACAAATAGAGATTCCTTGATTAAAAGCCTTCATTTAACTGATCAATAAACTGAGGCCCGGGTTCATCCTGTACTCTATAACAGAAAATCTTGGAAAACAGCCCTTTTCTCTAATGCTTGCTCATTCTATGAGGAGTCATTGAGAGCCTTAATACTTACTAAGATTTTGCCATAAAGATACTTCAGACTCATTCTACCTTTTATTTCACCTTACTTACCTCATTTTTCTGATATTGACTAACAGATCCCACCTCCCAGTATAAACTTCACCCTGCCCTCGCCAGTGCTTGGAATGCCATCCGTCCCGATGTTTGACCCTCCGTGGGTCCCTCAGTGCAGCGGGAGCGTCCAGGACCCCATTAATGAAGACCAGTCTGTGAGTAGCAGACACTTTCCTTCCCCTATCTCCAGGTTCGATGGTGTACACATAAAAGAGAACAATGAATGTGTGAGGCAATTTGTTCACTCTTGTTGTAAGGATGTAGTAATAACACAGAAAATCAGCCACAAAAAGTCTTCGTTCTTGTGAATAGAATAGAAAGAACTAATATCTGGTTGTGAGCATTTGCAGACCTCCAAACCAACACAGATTTGTTTTATAATCAAAGCAGCAGCCACCTTACGAAGCTACTGAAAGCATTAG